CCTTCACCGCCTCGCAACGTCTCCAGCACCGCTTCGGGCTGCCTGGCTGCCCCACGGCCCCCTCACACCCCACGGGCCACCCCAGCCCTGTGCCATCCCGGCCACGGTGCCCCCCCCTCCCCCGGCTGGCACCGTCCCTAGGTGGAGGATGCTGCTGGGGCTGGCCGTGCCCTCGGGTCCCCGCAGCAGCGCCCGTGGCAAGGGCGCCCAGCGTGACGTTTTGCACCCGGCCGCTTGGCCGTGGTGGGAGCGCGTGTCCCACTTGGCGTGACCTGCCCTCCCACGGGGGGCTGGGGCGAGCCCACCGTGGGGGGCAGCCTCGGCCGGAGAGATGCTCTTCCCAGGGCGCTGGGCTGGGCAGCGGCGGTTCCCTCTGCACTGGGCAGTCGCTGCCATGGAGAGGATGGGGTTAAGCCCTTTCCACCCCGGTGGGATAAGGGCAGGAGGCAGGAGGGGAGAGCAGCCAGGTGCGAACGCCCCTTCCCGAGCAGGGCCCGGGCAGGGGCTGGCGGTGCCTGCGGCGAGGGCAGATGGCAGGACGGCTGTGCCAGACGGCGCGGGGCCGCATCCAGCCCTCGGCCCCGAGGTCGGCGCCTCGCTGGCCCCCTCAGGCCAGAGCTGGGGTCGGGGGCGGGGGGGGGTGTCCGAGGGCCTGAGAAGAGGCGATTGTGTGGGGCTGGGCAGCGCTTCAATGGCCCTTTGTGCGCCCTTCCCGGCCTGGGGCTGGGGGGCAGCGCTGGCTCCACGTCAACCCTGACCCCCGCAGTGCTGGGGGGATGACTGTGCTCCCCAGTGCCTCCATCCCCCTGCCCCCAGACTGGTCCCTTTTCCTGCCCTGTACCGCAGCCCTCGTGCCCTGGCAGTCCCTGCCCCACCGGGCTGGGCAGCCGGGATTTGGGGTGCCAGTGCTGGCGGCTAGCTACCCCACGTTCCCCCTTGCAGTACGGCGGGCGGGAATGGAGCTGCTGGGACCGGCTGGAGCTGCGGGCAGTCGGCGCAGATGGGCAGGAGATGACGGTGCAGGAGGTGCTGGACTGGCTGCAGGTGAGCCTGGCGCGGGCAGCACCCAGCTGGGTCACCCTGGGGGGTGTCAGGCTGGCTCCTGACACCTCCTCTGGCAGATGACATACGGCTGGACCGTAACCATGCTCCTGCGTGGCTACACCGTGCTCTATGACAAGGAGGAGGATGAAGAGGCGCAGGCCCAGCAGCGGGCGCAGAGGTAGGTCCCTGGCTCTGGGGCTCAATCCTGCCCCAAGTGGGGCGGGGAGGCGGCTAAACCCTTCTCCCTCCATCCTGAGCCGCTCCAGCTGCAGCGCAGCTCCCAGCCAGCTGCTGGATAAACATCCTGCCGGCAGCGCTTCCCATGGCGGGACCCCTGCCCGGCCCCTCACTGCCGGCCCCTGCGTCCCCCTAGCCTGGCCAGGCGCCTTGGAGGGGCCTAAGGCCCCCCCAGGGCTCCTGGGTAGCTTCAGGGGACAAGCCTGGGTCTCCAAAAATCCCTTTTCCTGCTACAGGTTATCGGAGAACCTGGAGGATGGCGGGGAGCCGCGGCGGCGGGAGCTGGAGCTGCTCTATGTGTGTGAGGGAGAGGATGCTGAGGGCGACGCTAGCCGTCCCCCTCTCCTCTGCTTCCTACCCTGAGGGGCCAGTACCCCCCGCCCCATGCAATAAAAGCTGCAGGATGCATTGACCCTCGTCGCAAAACCCCCCTGCCTGGAGCTGGGGTGCAGGCAGCCCCCCTCGATAAACATCGGCTGCGCCCATACCGTACAAAACGGGGGTTTATTTACAGCGGAGGAGGGTGCAGGCAGGGCTAAATGTAGCCAATAACGTCATTACAGATGATGGGTTGGCGGCTGCGGCTGTTCATGAGGGCGGTGAAGCGGTGGAAGTCCGTGGCCAGCTGGGCGATGTTGCTGTGGGACTGGTGGAAGCAGGCACCCTTGGGCTGCCCTCCCAGCCCCAGCGGGCAGGAGAAACGCTTGGTGGCATCGCGGCCACCCGGCCGGGCACTCTCGGCTCCCCGAGGCCGGGCCATGTTGGCCAGCTTACGGCGTACGTTGCCCGAGAGGCTGAGCAGGAAGGCGGGGGGCTTGGCCAGCCGGCGGGAGGGCTCGGCAGGGCTTCGGCGCCGGGGTTCGGCGCCCACCTCGGGCAGGTCCATCCAGTTCTCCACCAGGTCGGCGAAGCAGTTGTCGCCCAGCACCAGGGGCTGCCGGTTCCGGCTCTGCGACAGCAGTGCCACGGTCCAGTCCCGCGTGTCGGCTGGCTCCAGCGCCCGCCACTGCTCCAGGCAGGCGTCCGAGGTGGATTTGGGGCGGGCGCGGCGGGCGGGGGCGGGCGGCGGGGCGGCGGGGCCGGCGGAGAGCCGGTGCGCCCGCTGGCAGGGCGGCGGGTGCCGGCGCCGCACGGGCGCCTCCTCCTCCCGCCACGTGCCCCCCGACGCCTCCGAGTACCCCGAGTCGAACTCCAGGCTGCGCTCGCTGGCCGGAGGGGAGCGGGCAGCCAGGGATCCCCCCCCTTCCTCTTCCTCACCCCCTGGTTCCAGGCTGCAGGCCGAGTCCGCCGCCGAGCTGGGGCGCGGGGGGCGGGGGGCCGGCCCCGACGCCCCTCCGGGGTGGTGCGGCGCCTGCCGCGTGCCGGGCATGTGCACCCGCGGTGCCACCCCCGCCTCCCGCCGGCACCGCTGCGGGGAAAGGGCAGGTCAGCACCGTCATCCCCGCTAACACCACGAACCCCCATCCCACCCACCCCTGGCACCCCTTGCCTGCCCCCTCCCCACCCCCCCCCCCCAAATCCCGGCTCAGGAGCCGGGTGTGCAGTGGGGTGCGGGGAGCGGGGCGCAGGTCTCGGCTTGCCTGCAGCCCCGGGCCCCGCTTTCCTGCGGCTCCTGTGCCGAGCTGGCTGGCGTGCAGCGGCATGTCGGGTGAGCAAGCAGGCACCCAGCCCCGGCCGTGCCTGCGGGAAATGACACAGGGCCACGGCACGTAGGAGCCGGGCGCCCCACTGCCCCCCCAACACACACCCCACGCTGGCCCCTCAAGTCCCCCCTGCCCCGGTGGGGTGGCAGCCGGGACACCCCGGCGGCAGGACCCCGCTCGGTGGCGCAGGGCCAGCTGCAGCCCCAGGGCACCCGTGGGTGATGGGGTGGGGCGCTCCCCCCCCCCCCCCCCTTCACCCCCCTCCGTGCGTTGGCAGGGCCACCCCACCCACCCTGTGCCCTCCAGCTGGGGACACCCCGGGTGACGTCAGGGTGCAACCGGGCCTGCACCCAAGGCCAGAGCCCCCCCAAAGCGCCAGGGAGCGCGGGGGGGCTGGGCCTGAAAAGAGCGTGGCCGGGCGGGCGCTGGAAGGAGCGGCTGCGTCCCACAGCTGGGCCGCTCCTTGCTCTTGAATTCCTATTGTCTGAACCCAAAAGCAGGGTGTTACGTCCGCTTTCCTTTCCGCGCTGGAGCCGCGGGAAGCCGTTCAAGCCGGAGGGATCGCTCCCCCCATCTTGGTAAACTGGCCCCCTCCGGCCAGCCCCAACAGAGCTGCTGGCCGGGCATGTCCCTGTCCTCATCCCGGTCCCTGTCACCCTCCCCGCTGCCTGGGACCCCCTCAGCCAGCCCTGCTGGCAACATGCCACCGCTCCGAGCTGCCCCGTCCTGGTGTCGGCCGGGGACGCCAGCACACCGGGCCGTGAGGAGCTGGGTAGGCGGGCGGCAGGCCCAGGGGAGCCGGCTGGGCCGCCCTGTCACCTCCGGTCCCCCTCGGGGCAGCCCAGGCGGGCGGCAGGGTGGCAGCTCCGGGGTGGCGGTGCCGCTGTGGCACCCTGACAGCTGGACACCGTGGTCCCTGGCCATCCGCGTCCCACCAGTCGCCCGCGTCCCACCAGACACCCACGTCCCGTCCCGTCCCGTCCCGTCCTGTCCCATCCCCCCCCCCCCACCTCTGCGCCGCCTTGGCCTTGCTCATGATGTCACGGCGCTGATGTCACTGGCAGCACCCTGACATCACGGCAATGCCCGGGGCGGTGCGGTGGGGAGCGGGCAGGGTGGCCCCGTCCCCTCCCGGTGCCCGCGGCGGCACTCACCCGCTCGGCGCCGAGCTGGCCCGGGCAGGCGTCCGGGCGGGCGCTGTGCATGCCCGGCCCGGCGCCGCTCCCGGTCCCGCCGGTGACCGGTGCCGGTGACCGGTGCCGGTGGCGGTGCCGGTGGCGGAGCAGCAGCGGAGCGCGGCGCAGCGCCCGCCCGGCCGTGCCCGCCGCCTCCCGGCGCCGCCTGGGCGGCACCGCCCCGCCCCGCCGCAGCCAATGGGGCCGCCGTAACGTGAGCCCGGCCCCGCACCGGCAACCGGCACCGCCGCCCCGGGGCCCCGCCCCGCCCCGCCCCGCCGCCCCGGGGCCCCGCGCCGGGCACCACCCGGGCACCGGCCGGGGCGGGCAGGACCCGGCGCCCCGCTTGGCAGCACCCCGGCCCCGCCCGCACCGGGGGTCCCGGGGTCGGGAAGCCCTGGTGGGGAGGACGGCAGCCCCGTTACACGGCCCCGGTGGAGGCACCCGCCGCCACCGGGCTGCCAAAACGGGCTTGAGTATTGGAGGAGGGATAAATGACCCCGGCCACAGGGGCCGCGCTCCGCCAGCGCCTATTAATTGGGAGCTAATAGCACTTAATAAGGATTCCGGGAGAAGCGGCGCTGGCTTGCAAATGAAGGAGAACACGGCCAAAAATTAACCTCCCGGCTAATTTTCCCAGTTTCCGAGCGAGCTGCATGGCGAGGCAAGCGCGGTGAGGCAGCGAAACCTCACGGAGCGTCGCTGCCCGCCTGCTCCGCACCGGCCGGGGGATGGCGAGGGGCTGGGAGTGGGGCCCGTGGGAGTTGGGGGGCACTGGGGCCGTGGCCTCTCCCTTCCCTGGGGCCGGGCTGGTGGCTGTGGCTAGCCGGCGTGACGCTGGGCCAGGGTGGTGCCCAGCACCCGTGGCAACGGGCTCCGGCTTGTCCCAAACAGCCAGCGAGCCATGGGCATGCACAGACGCTTCGCCTTCCTCCTCTTCCTCCTCCTCAGCCTCCGTGCCCCAGGTAGGCGCTTGAGGCTCACAGCATCGAGGGCACCCTTTGCCAGATCCTGGGTGCGGGACAGGGTCCCCTCAGTTGTCCCCATGTGCCTGGGGATGACCCCAGGATGGGCAGAGGGGCCGGCAGCTGCCTGCCCTGGGGTCAGGCAGGGAGGGGGCATCACTGGAACATATCCTGACACCGCTGGGGCATCTGTGGAGCATGACGGGGACACCTCTGGGGCCTCCCCAGGGCATTGCCGGGACACACCCGGCAGGCTGGGGTGACGCTCACCTCTTTGCAGGGACATCTGTGAGAGCAGCAGGTAAGAGCGGGGTGCCCTGGGCCCCGCTGTGACCTGCAGGGAGACCCGTGCCTGTGTGGGTGCCTGGGTGCCGGAGCAGAGCTCCCTAAGCACGGCTGGGCGAGCCACCGGTGGCACCGGCTGGGTGCGAGGCCAGTCCCCGGCGTCTCCCGCCAGCCCTGCCTGACCTGCCACGCATGGTGGCCCTGAGCGAGGATGCGGTGCCGGGCACCCGCGTGGCTGAGGTGACCGTGTCCTGCAGCAACGCGAGCGGCAGCCCCAACGTCACCCTGCGCGGCATCGAGCCTGGCCACCCTTTCAACCCCATCGCCATCAGCACTGACCCCGTGGCTGCCACCACGTTCCGGGCAGAGGTGCGGCTGGGGGACGGGGAGCAGGGGCAGGACCTCGCGGGCACCCTGCTGAGCGCCGTGTCCCCGTGGCAGGTGACACTGCGTGCCGGTGCGGAGCTCGATGCCCACCGGGTGAACCAGTACTCCCTGACGCTGCGGGCAGCTTGTCCCGGTGAGGACGCGGTGGAAGAGCGGCTCTTTGTGCGGGTGACAGCGGGGCAGGAGCTGCGCTGTGACACCCCCTTCGCCAGCGCGGGTAGGAGCCAGGGGGTGCGGGGTGGCGGGGGCCGTGGGTGCCGGCTGGCACTGGGCTCCCATGGCCGTGCTGTGCCGCAGGGGGAGATGTGGTGCAGGTGTTGGCAGATGTGGCACCCCGGACACCCCTTTACGCGGTGCTGCCGCAGCCGCTTGGCGGGCTGACGGTGAGTGGCGGCTGCCCGGGAGCCCACAGTCCCTGCAAGTGGGAGCAGCCTTGAGGGACAGTGGTGCCCCGAGTGTGGAGGGGGGGGACAGGGGTTCCCACCCTCCTCCCACCACCCGTCTTTCTGCAGTTCAGGCTCCAGAACCACGACACGCCGCTCACGCTCACCCACCGGGGCCTGGTGCTGGCGCCTGCCGGGGGCTTCAACCCCAGCGAGGACATCCAGGTGGGCACCAGCGTCCCCAGGCTGTCACAGCCACCTCCCAGCCCGCCTGGGCTTAGCCCTTTGCTGGCACTGCTCGCAGGTCTCTGTGTCCTGCTCCTCCTGTCAGGCTCCCATCTCCCCCCACTCCTGGGAGCACTCCAGCCCTGTCCCTATCCCCAGCTCCATTCCCTTCCTCATCTTGAGTCCTGTCCCAATCCTTACCCCTGTCCTATTCCTGTCCCCATTCTGAGCTCCAGCTCATCCTCATCTCCATCTCCATGCCTCCTCCCACCCCTGTGCCTACTCCAAACCCCATCCTTGTCCCTGTCTCCCTCCCCTTTCCTGTCCCTGCCGCTGTTCCTCTCCCCATCCTGTCCCTATCCCTATTACTATCCCCATCCCTGGTGACACTCGGGGCTGTCCCACGGCCACCCTGGCACTGTCCCACAGACATTCAGGCTGGAGATCGAGGTGATGGACCGCCACGGGCACAACTGCAGCGGGACTGTGAGGGTGGAGGTGCTGCCATCGCGCCGTCCCCGTGTCACCTTCCTGTGAGTGGGGCCAGGCTGGGGGGGGCGGTGCTGGTGGCACCAGGCCATGCCACGCTGCCCACCTTGTCTGCAGCGAGCTGCAGCGGGCTGTGACAGTGCCAGAGGGCACCGGCCCCTTGGAAGTGGTCACACAGGTCCATGCCAGTGGTGACAACGTCCGCTACGCCATCCTCGCTCCCGTGGCACCTGTGCTCTTCACCATTGACGAGGGTGAGCGAGGCAGCGGGGATCCCCAGGGCCACCCTGTCCCTGTCCCCATGCCCGGTGTGAGGCCGTGCCTTCTCCCGCAGTGACGGGTGAGATCCGCAGCACCCGCCGGCTGGAGGTGGCCCACGCACGCCTCCTCGTCCGCGCTTACAATGCGCTGCACCCCGCCGACCACGCCACCGCCACGCTCAACGTCACCGTGCAGGGGACGGACCGGCAGGCACCGAGCTGTGTCCCAGCCATCTCTGTGTATGGTTTGGGGGGGAGCGAGGTGCAGGGGATGCTCTGCCATGCCCAGGACATGCAGGACAGGAGCTGAGCCGCCAGCTGTCCTGCCGCAGGTCCCAGGTGCCTGAGACGGTGTCCCCTGGCAGCACCCTGGTGACACTGAGGTGCACTGACTCCTCGGGCACCGAAGGGTCTCTGCACTATGATCTTGAGGGTCCTTCAGCCTCCCACTCCCGCTTCCGCATGGAGGGGCCGCAGCTGCAGGTGAGCGGGGCCGCAGGCAGCACCCAGGCGGCCAGCAAGCCCGGACCTGGGGGAGCCCAGTGGGATATTGAGGACCCTCTGATATGTGCCGTCACGCTGGGTCCCTCCCCAGCACTCTCTGCTCCCCAAGGCCTGCCCATTCCCCCACCTTGCTCCCTCCTGCTCCCCCAGCATCACAGCTTTGCAGGGCACCCCAGCTTTGCGGGACACCACAGTTTTGCAGGGCACCCCATCTTTGCAGGGCATCTTGGCTCTGCTTGACCCCCTGCCCCGGCTCAGCAGGTCAACACCAGCCTGGACTATGATTCAGAGGCCGTGGCTGCTGGTGGCTTCCAGTTCACGACCACCATCGTGGTGACGGCGGGAGGGCAGCCCCCACGGAGCAGTGAGTGTTCGTGTCACCAGGGGATGCCTGTGGAGATGGAATGGGGGAGGTCACGGGGGAGGTGGGAAAAGCCCCTTCCTGGCCCCAAAACCAGCAGATCACAGAGGAAACGTTCCTCCCTTGCTCTCAGAGATGTCTGCCCCAGGGGTGGTGCCACTGTCCCCGTGTCCCCCAGCCTGTCCGGGGGAGAGCTGTCCCAGGGCGGGCTGCAGGGTGGTGCCAGCGCGGCTGAGCTGCTGTGTGCCACACAGCCCGTGTGCCCGTGCTCGTGACAGTGACACCCGTCAACGAATTCACACCGGTGTGCCCCAGCGGTGCTGCCTTCACCGTGCCAGAGACGGCAGCTTTCGGCAGCATCGTGGGGCGCGTGGCCGGCACTGACCGTGACTACCCACCGGACAGCCTCAAGTACAGCCTGGAGGGGGGCCCCGGCCCCTCACAGCCCTTCTCCATCGACACACGCACCGGTGAGCACCCAGCTTCCTCGCCAGCATCCACTGCACCCCGTGGCGCCCATGGGTGCCCAGCAGCTCTCACCAACCCGCAGGTGAGATCCGTGTGGTGGGACCCCTCGACTCCCAGCAGCACAAGAGCTACAGGCTGACGGTGCGGCTGACGGACACCAACAACGACCTGGACCCATCCAAGCGGCGGAGCCGCCTGTGCGACGTGGCCGTGCGCCTGCAGGTGCGAGTGCAAGTCCGTCGGATGAACCGCGGTGGGTACAAACACCGCGGGTGCCAAACCACCTCTCCCCGCTCCCGGCAGGCTGTGCCGGACCAGGCGCCGGTGTGCACGCCCGAGGTGCAGGAGCTGCGGATCACGGCCGGGTCGGGTGGCCGCCAGCCTGTCACCCGCCTGGCGTGCCAGGGCAGCCCCGACAGCGCCGTGCTGGCATACGCCATCGCTGGAGGTGAGGAGCAGCCAAACCACAGCAAAACCCAGCCCCTCACCACGGTGTGACACTGAGCAGACCCTCTTGTCCAGGCAACGAGGATGGGCGCTTTCAGCTGGAGGGGAACACCCTTTTCTACCTTCCCGATGGCCTGGCCGAGCCCCGCACCTTTGTGCTGCTGGTGGAGGTGTGGGGCAGCCCGGGTAACCCCCGCCGCAGCACCGTGGTGGCACTGGTGGTGCACATCACCCCCCGGAGCACCCCGGTGCCACCCAGCACCACCACCCAGCGCACGGTGAGCAGAGCCAGGCAGTGCTCCCGGGTCCCGTCAGGCCCCCCGGCCCTCGCGTACCCCCTCACCCCACCGCCTCTGCAGACGCTGCGGAAGGAGCCGCTGGTCGTCACGCAGACGGAGGCGGTGTGGCACCCCCCGGCCTGGTTTGTGGCCGTGCTGACTGTCTCTGGTGTCCTGCTGCTGGCCACCCTGGGCTGCGTGGCCCGGAGCCTGCTGTGCAGGTGAGCCCTGGCCCCATGGCATGGCACGGCATGGTGAGCAAGGCCAGGGGCTCACGACCACCTTCTGCTCCTCCCGCAGCAACCAAGACCCTGGCAAGCTGCTCTTGAGAAAGAGGTGGGTGCTGCGTGGCCGGGGCAGTTGGATCAGAGGCGAGGGGCAGCACAGGCTCCTGTGGTGTCCTCACAGGCAGCCAAGAGATGCTGTGTGTTGAGGGTGTTTAACGTACCCCGTGTTTGATTGTGGTCTAGGGGTTGCTGTGCCAGGGAACCGTCTCTGACCCAGGGCGAGGGTGCAGCACTGATGGGAGCCATGGGTGCAGAGACAGTGATTTGGCTTGGGGACAGGCGTATCAGCGGCTGGGCTGGGGCACGGACTCTGCAGTGGGCAGGGTGGGATGGCACAGCGCTGGCACCGCTGCCTGCCGCAGGGCTGGGGCCCAACATCAGGGCTGGGGCTGCTGCGGCGCACCAGGGGAGCCCCGATTTAACAGGGAAAGCTTCCCCAGGAGGAGGTGAGCAGGCTGCACACCCTGGGGAGGATGAATGAGAGGTTACAGGCAGCGGAGGGGAGAGCTCGAGGGGGCACTGGAGCTGGCCCAGCCTGCGCTGGGCATCTGTGCAACGAGGAGGAGGTGTGCGAGCCCGCAGGCAGGCTAACAGCCACCTTCAGTGGTGTAACCACCCCAGCATGATGCACGACTGGATCCATGTTCATTGGTGAGGTTGGGGACACAGTGCTTGGTGGCACTGGGGCTGTAGCGTCCATGCAAGGGAGAAGACTCCGGCTCAGCCCCTGCAGGTGGCCCTGGCAGCAGTGGGGCTCTGGGGCTGCAGCTCCCCCAGCACAGCAACCTTCGAGCACAAGAACAGTGTGTGGGGCACGTGGGGAAAGAAGTGGATGTGGTGACAGACCAGCTTGCCACTTTTGGGCATCGTTGAATGGTGGCGGTGCCTGGGGGAGCACGGCCCCTGCTGCAGGCCCCTTCAGTGCCCAGGGGACGCACAGGCTGGGTAAGGGGACAATCAGGTAGGTGGATGACAAGCTCGACGGGGCACAGCTGGCCGTGCAAAGGCTGGCTGGCAAACTGCTCCTGGCAGCTTTCCTCGGGATTGAGGCCGGGGGCCCAACATGGTCAGCACGTCCTCCCCTCACCCCCTCTTCCCTCTGCAGCTCCTGGGATGTGGTGGAGCGGAGAGGCGGTGAGATGGAGCAGAACCAGCCCCACGCTGGCAGCCCGGTAAGTGTGTGCCACGGTGGCGAGGGTGGGTGCCCTGCCGGGGTGCAGGAGGGAGCCCTCAACGCCCTCTCCTGTCTCTCCTCTGTACAGGGGCAGTTTGACGGTCGTGCCCGGGACCCTCGTGAGTGCCCTGTCCCACAGCCCCGACAGCCTCGGGCTGGGCAGTGCCGGGGGGGGGGGAAATGACTGAGTGCTGCGTCCCCTCTCAGGCACCGGCAGGGACTATCTCTTCAACAGCGTGACTGGGGCACGGCGCTGGATCTGAGTGATTTGACTCGGTGAGGGGCTCCCCGTGACTCACAGCTCCCTGCGGGCCGCGCCGGGCAGAGCACCGGGTGCTGGCAGACACCTGGTGTGGCCCTTGGGCCCGGGAGGAGGAAGGGATCCTTGCCCTGTGACCAAACCCACCACCCACAGGGTGCAGCCAGCCTCTGAGCCACCCCAACCAGCACAGACCCAATAAATGGTGGCAGAGATCGCACCCATTGCCGTGATCGCTGCCGGTGGCTGTCCTGCTGTGGAGGACATCAGCACCGTCACCAGTCGGGGATGTGGGTGGCATGACCCAGGACCAGGATGGCAGTTATGGCAGGGCTGAAGGCTTTGGCAGGGTGTGCTCTGGTCACAGCACCCTCTGGATGTGACCTGGCGGGGGCATTCCGCTGAGTAGATGTGATGTGGGGCAAGAAAACTCGATCACGGTTAATTCTGAGAAACTTTTGCCCTGTGTCCCCCTGAAACTCTCCCTTGCTCGAGCACTCCCAGGCACGAGTGGGTGAGACAAGCAGCTGGTCAGCAGAGGGACCGGGTTTGTGAATTGGGAGGAAAAATGAATTTGTGAGTGCGCGGGGAAGCGTGACATGCAGCAGGAGCCGTTAACGGGGCCCGGGGAAGGGGCGGGAGTGCTTTGAAGGAGTCGGCAGCGAGGGGAGGTGGGAAACCGGTTATTTGAATTTCAAAGGAGCACTCCACAGGATGTCTCTCTGGCAGCTCCCGGGGAAATGAAGTGCTGGCGGGATAAGAGGAAAGACTAATTTGGGGAGTAGGTGGCTAAGCAGGAGGAAGAGGAGCTCAGGAGCCGGCCGTGAAATTTCACAGTGAAGAGGGGTCAACTCTGACTGGGGGTCCCCTCGCCCTAAGCCCACAGGGCCTGTGACTGTTGGGGAATTAAACCCTTTATTGTACCGGGGCGGTGCGTGAACACGTTCCACGCGCCGAGCTCGGCGTGGGGAGCCCTCCGGGAGCAGGCCGCCGCGGGGGAAGCTGGGTTTAGCCCAGCTGGCCCCGCAGAACGTGCCACACCAAGCGGGGGCCGCCCCGCGCGCCCGAGGCGCCGGGGGCAGGCGGACAGGCCGGGCCGAGGCGGGAACCCCGACCCCAGCCCCGGAGCGGCGGAGCCCCGGCAGGGCCCGCGGCCCGCGCCCATTGGCCGAGCGCCCCCCCGCGGGCAGCCAATGAGGCGGCGCAGCCCGCGGGGAGGCGGGGTTCCAGGGGGAGCGTCACGTGTGCCTAACGTGCGCGGCCATCCGGAGGCAGTCCGCGCATGGAAAGGCGCGGGGCGGCCCCGCGCTTGAGTGACGGCGGCTCTGCCCTATCAGCCTTTCTAGGTCGCCCCCGGCGGGCGGGGCTCGGGTTTGGATTGCCACAAGAGGCCGGGGGGCGGGTTTTGGACGGCGTGGTTGCTATGACGGCCAGCATCGGGGCTCCGCCCCCTCGGCTGCCGCCATCTTGTTGTTGATTCGAACGGCGGCGAGCGGGCGGCGGCGAGCGGTGGCGTTGGGGGCTCGGTGTCGCCAGCCCCCGGCTGGGCAGGCAGGGCCGGCCCCGGTGAGCCGCGGCAGGCCGGGGGCCGGGGCAGGCTGAGGGGCGGGAGGGCCGAGCCGGGCATCCTGCCGTGAGGGGAGGGAGCGAGACCCGGGCGCGCTGCCGTGAGGGGGGAACCGGGCGCGGCCCCGTGAGGGGGGATGGGAGAGGGGAAGAGTCCGGTGCGGCCCGATTGGTTCCGGGGGGGGGGGGGGGGGCGATCCTGGCGCGGCCCCACGGGGAGAGGAGGGACACCCAGGCGCGGCCTCGTGAAGAGCCGGGGTGAGGTGGGGGACCCGTGGGGCGGGGGGGCGGCCAGGGAAGCACCCACGGTGGGGGGGGAATCCCGGCGCGATCCCGGGAGGAGGGGAAGGGGGGAGCTCGGCGCGTCCTCGTCTTTGTGGTGGGGTGGGGGGGGCGTGTGCGGATGAGCCCCAGATGCTTCCCCGTGTGAGGCGGGAGGGTCGGCCCCACGTGGGGGGCGCTCCGGGCGCTGGGCTGGGTGGGGGCAGCCCGGCGGGCAGCCCCGGAGCCTGGGCAGGGCCGTGCTGCCCCGGCCGGAGGCCCTGCCCGGCCCGCAGATCGAGCATCCCCTCCCTTTGTGCCCTTCCCTTCCACAGAAGCTGCGCGCAGGAAGGAGCTCGGCAAACCGCGGTGGTAACATGAAACCAACATGGTGAGGAAGCTGGTGGGCTCGGGGGCCCTTACTGCGTCCCAACGCACCTGCCACCCCTGCAGAGGAGGGGGTGTGGGCAGGTTCTGGTAGCGCTGGTGGCTCCGGTGGTTACCGGGAGGTGCCCGGCGGTCCCTGGAGGCGGATGTGCTCACCGGTCTGCAGACCTGGACCGTCACCAACCTTCCCTGGGGTTTCCAAGTAGGACTTGGATTAGGAGGGGTGGTACTGACTCCCTTCAGTTTTCAGCTCCTCTGAATTTCAGCTGGTGCCGGGCTACGTGTCCCTCCATCTTAAAGCTCTGAATCAGCAAGGCCCTCATTTTTCGTTCCATCAATATGCTTTATTATGTGCTGCCTTTCTCATTTCAGCCTGTCTTGCTGTGTTTCTGCTCCATCTGCTCTTCCTCCCTTCAGGTTCACTTGCCTTAACCTGGTATTCAGAGCTTCTAAAGCTGAATTCCAAGATTGGCCTTTGCTAACGAAACACAGAATGGTGTGGGCTTGGGTCTCTGTTCATTCTTAATGTAATATTTTTATAGTCGGTAGGCTTCTTTGTGTAAACTCCGTTAATAGCTTGTCTCACAAAATAATATAATGTTTTGTACAAGTCTCTTTGTATTGAACTGTCATCTGCAGCTGATATAGTGACATATGTGCCTATGGTCAGATTTTTGATGGAGAAAAATACCGTATTCTAGTTATGTATCACTGAACTAAGAGTTTGATTTCCTGTTTACAGAAATTTTGTCAGGAGCTTGGAATTGGTTTAGAATTAGATATATCGGTTATTAGATGTTGTCACTGTAACCCTAAATAAGTCTATTACAGACATCCTAAACCCATGTAACAGTTCCTTATTATTGAGATTGAGAAATATTTTTCTGTGGCTGGGTTAGTTTAGCACTGACCTAAGGTAAGTGCTGTGTTTTGGAGCTGTACGGAAAGCAGTATACTGAGAAGAGATTATGTGTGAACTCTCTATATAGCAAGGTAACATTAAATGTTCTGGATTGTCCTGATGCTAATTTTTCTTCCAATAGCATGAGAGAGATGCATGCCTTCCGCAGCTTTTTCAGCAAAACCATTTCCAGGTGCATGGGTGAACAGCCTATGCCATTCCAATTAGAGCCTGTTAGGCGGATCTGAACTGTCCTTTTCATGGCATTACCTTTGTTTCTCATCTAATAAGGACTTTTGGGAGAGCAGGGGAAGATGATCCTTACCTCTTTGAGGGGGAGGTTGATGTATGTGAGGTCATTACCATAGGAATCTCCGATGACCACAGGGTTGGAAAGAGTAGGATGTGGTGGTAGGACCCTCTTCTGAACAGTGCGTGTGACTTTTCCTAGGTTAGCTTCTACTCTGGTTATCCAGTAGTCACCTAGTTGCAGGTTTGCATGTTTCTTGCATAGAAAAAGAGCAAGTAAGCACAATTCACTGTTGAGATAAGAAGGGGGACAGTTTCTAGGATCTGCTTCCAGTCACTGGGAGTTTTGGTTGTGCCACCTAATGTGTGTAGTTTCAGTCACTTTAAGCTCATGTAAATATAGATTGCAACCAACAGGAGGTGCTTGCCCTGTCACTGGTGCCAGCTGGGGTATTTGTGCAGGTAGGATTTAGAGTTCCCTCACTTATGAACTGCTCAAACTGAAGAGAAACTGTCGTGTGTTTTTTTTTTTTTTTTTTTTTTTCTCCCCAGCTTTGTGGATGCCTAAATGATTTTGCTGGTTCAAGGGCAATGGTGGGAACATGGAGTCATACTTGTTCAGGGTAAACCTGCACTGTGACTGTGAAGCAGGGCAACAACATGTTCTTATATATTTAGTTATATAAAAATACAATTTAAAAATACATATCTAACATATATTTTAAAATAAAATGGAAAAGTAGTATCCATGCTTCTTTTCTGCTACTTTTGGAATAGTATCATTGTGCGCTTCATCATCCGGATGACAGTACTGGGCATCTCCTTCTTACAACAGTATTCTAGAAAGCAAAATTAGATGTGCTTTGGGATCCCCTCTTGTGACAGATTGTGTTAGTCAATTGACTTGCAAGTTATTCTGTATGGCATTGCACTGAGAAGTCAAGGTTAGAATAGCAAGCACTCAAAGGTCAAAAAATGGCCAGGCTGAAGTAGTACCAGCACCCTTAATCAGCCAGTTGGCCTTCTGAACAAGCATTGTGATTTCTTCTTAATCATGTGGTTGCATGCTGTTCTCATCCCATCTGATCTGCTTTCTTTGTTTCTTCTCTCCTTCCCTCCCCTGTATATGGAGCTTATTCATTTTGGGTAAAATTACCAAACTCTGAAAATGTGACCTTGTTGAGCTTGACTAGTGTGAGATGACAAGCTTGGAGCTGTTGATTGACCATCTGCTTACAGGACACAGTCTCTTTGGTTCAGTGGCTCACCAAATGTTTGTAAAAAGTTTGATCACTTGCCTTTTTAGATTTCAGTTTTTAGTTGATTTCTCTGTGTCTAAAGGTTGTGGTGGATCTGGTGCGTTCTGACTGGCACACTGAGGCCTGGGGTGGCACTGTCTTATACTTTCCATTGGAATAAGGAATGTAGGTGGTAAGTTTGAAGTTGAATATCCCCAGCCTGTGCTGTAGAGGAGGTATGTTTCATCCATCTGTGGTTGAAATGCAGATACTGAAGCTGTAGAAAATCTGACAGAGGCATTGTTTGAGCCATTACTCGAGCACTGCATTGTTACCCAGGCACTTGCTGCCACTGGATTCCCTCAGTCTGCCCATTGGGAATTGGTTTGTAGTGTGTTTGAAATGTGCATCACGGTTGAGTGTTGATGCTGGGATTTAATGTCTCAGAAGTTAGTATTGACAGAAAACTGCAGCCTGATTTGTTTACTCTTACATTTGACAGTGTCACACCATCAGTCTTGGTGCTGGGCAGGGTTCAGATTTGAACCTGACTTGCAGAGCTTGTGTGGCAGCTCAGTGGAGCCGTGGCTCTGCTTGTTTATATAATGTGATTTGCCTAGGAACAACTGCTTTTATTTCTTACTTCCCAGTCTTTGAGAAGGAATGTGTCAAAAAGAAGCCCAGTAAATACAAGGAATCCCTAGTGAGCTCTGAAATGGGTGAGCTAGAGAAAAGGAGTGAAAAGCAAGAAGAAAAGGGAACAGAAACCTCTGCAAGAATCATGTCAAGTATTTGTATTACTTGCTGTAAACTGAAGGAACCCTTCAGATATATGGAGGAGCAGCTAGCAGTCTCCCTCTTCTATATTCCTGACGTGAGAGGAATGCAGAGCAGGATGCTGGCAAGTGTTTAATCTCAGGTTTGTTGCTGCTGTCGTAGGGGATGGGGGAGGAAGAGGAAGTGTTTGTGCATGGCTGCTTAGTTTCTGTTTTGCAGGCATCGCCTGTACGCAGTGCTTGTGCTGTTCTGATGTGGCAGCAGCTGTTATTTTTGGCTTTCCCAGTGTGCTGTTCGGGTAGATGTACTTTCTAAGAGATGCAGTTCTCTTAATTGGTGTGTTGGGGTGCCTGTGCTTCCTGTATAGTCCCCGTCGGTGCGAACTACTCTGCAGATAGTACTAAGGTGCAAGTCATTTGCCTTCAGTTATATCTGTAGACTTGTCTATATGCATTTTGAGTGGCATTAACTGTATAAAAGACAAGCTTCTTTAAGCTTTCTTTTATTTTGTATAACCCCTGTCAGCATGCAGTCAGTTTCATTCACAACAAATGATTTTACCCCCTTCTCTGGAGGTAGAGGAATATGCTTTGCTATTATAGGGTGCCTCTCTATCTGTATAATGCTATCTACGGTAGTTAACATTAGTGCAATTGTTTCTGTTCAAAAATAACATGGGTGTAGCTGTCGTAATTATATTAGTAGAAGATCTGTGTCAATCAAATCTGATAAAAGCAGTAAAAAAGGTTATGAGATGTAATGTGCCTGTCCTGGTAGGATGTTACTACACATGGTTGAGAGCTCGGGTAGATAAGCTGTCTCTGATTCAGCTTTTGTAGTTGGAAAGGTTATCTCTTCCACCAGCTGTCCTGCTTCTTTGCCAAACCCTACCTTCCTTATATTAGGGCCTACAACAGTGTCTGTTCAGTTGCTGCAGATTAATATTAAATACTGTGGTTCAACCTTTCTTCATTAGTACCCATCAGGGTCTTGTGAACCAGGCCAGATGAAGAACAGGCGTGCATCCTGTTTTGCTCCACCCACTGGTTGGTAATTATCTGTTGAGGATGGAGGAGGCAGCTGGGGGCAGTGGTCCCCTCGGCCCGGGTGGAACGGTTGGTAAAGAGCATCTGTCAGAGCCCAGAAGAATAAGTGCATCCTGAAAGGAGCTCGTTGTGAATTCTGGTCTCAGGCTTGAGAGAAGGCATGCTCGCAAGCATTCTGAATTGATGAGCAAGTAAAGATCTAAATAAAAGCTAATTTAGCACTTGCTAACTCGTTTCCATACAACATCTTCCAGGCTGACTTGCTTCTGGTGTCCTACTCCCTCTTGATTGTGAGAGGTTGGCTCCATATTCCAGTGACTGCTCAACAGAGAGAGCTTGGGTGACATCTCTAAGGTAACTTTTTTCTGTTTTGCCCAGAATACATACGCAGCGACCTTAAATACTGTGCAAAGAGAAATAAGCTGCTTGCTTTTTACCTCTCACTTTGTAATTTTGCCCTTTAAGGGTATGTGGATATGGTTTTGTGGGAGGTCTGCTCTTGTCTTTGGAGGATACTACAGGAGTGCCAAGGTAAGTGCACTAGGACATTGAAAAGCTCAGTCCTGTTCTGTGTTTTTTAACTTCTGATCATATTGGTGTGAATTCTTTGTAATAAGAACCAAGCTTCCAAGATTTGGAGGCTAACTCTCATGCTCTAGCAATTCTGGCCGTTTAGGTGGCTGTATCTTACGATGATTTTGGAACCCTGTCATTGTCTTGTTTTTATTTCTTCTTTCTATTCTGAGGTTAGTTTGCTGAAAGATGATAGGCTGTCTTGATAGTCTTCCAGGCTGAAAGGGATTACTTTGTGTTGTTCTGAATTTGGAAGAAAGTCTAGCATACCTGTTTTACCCCAGTTCTTTATCAACAAAGATATGACTCAGTAGTGTAGTACCTGTGGTATAAGCATTTGTTTGCCAGCAGACTCAAATGACCTTGTTTTCTTGAGACGCAGTGTGTTCTAAATAGTGGCTGTGTTGCACAGTTCACTTTTCTGGTGGGAAGTCCCTGACCTGTGTGACTAATGGTCTTTGTTATTTTGAAGTGCAATAGGTAATGACCAAAGATACTGAGCTCCAAGCTACCTTCCTGGGGTGGGGAGAGAAGACATGGTGCTGCCTTTGCAGGGGATGCTTCTGTGTCTTTGTCACAGCTGAATGAAGTACTGCTCTAAAGGCGAACTACTATATAGCTCGTATATTCTGTGATATTTCTGGTTTGTGGGGTGTCCCCCTCTAGTTACATGCTGAGCTGCATTTTACCCAGTTTTTAAATTGCCAGAGTGGGTTTATGCAAAATACATATAATCTTTAATTCTGACTAGCATCGTCCACTCTTGGTATCAAAATATTGTCAAGTGTTTCAAAAAGTGAGTTTAGAAATCTTAGAGAGGCACAGGAAAATAGGGCTGGCTGTTTGTTCTGTGTCCTTTGACAGTACTGTCTAAGCAGCTTAAGCACGTGTGGGGAGGCAGTCATGATCTCATTACAGCTAACTATAGGCGATAAGCAGCTTCGAGCACCAAAATCAGTGCACCAGTGAATGCAGATGTCAGTGAGTTATTTAAAGCAGGAAGGACTTGGGAGAGAAGCCTAGGGGGCTGCATAGTCCTTTGTCTTAGTCAGTGGCTGAATCAAACCAGAGAGTAACTTCAGTGAAAATGTTGGAGCTATTGCAGAAGTTGAGGTGTAGTTGCGTTCTTGTGTTGGTTTGAGTACTGTTGTGGACTGTAACTAAAACTGGTAAAGTCCTGGAGCTTTGAAAGGCTCTTGGAATGCTTGCTGCCTGGTAGAAGGTATATTTCACTTTTCCAAACTGAGGTCTGTGTGTAAAGCTACATGGCGGATTGGAGGAAGGTATGCTTGTCAGATTCGTGGGATGAGAGCGCCAACCCTCATGAATGTGGGGGGAAAATAAAGATCTTTTGAGTTTGTCCCCAAAAGATTGTTAAAGCAGCCTAAAGCTCAGTTTGTGTTGAAATACTACATATGCAGGTTTTTTTAGATGGTTTCTTAAACACCCCCACAATTCCCACAATAAAACCCACATCAGGTTAATCTCGACTTTGCAGATTTTGCTTAGATTAATGTAACTGTATACAAAATTATTATGGATACCCTTACTTTTGCAAATACTGGAATGGTTTGCTTTATTTCCCATTTGGACCAAATATTGCAAGATCTTTTCTTATGCTGTGCAAGTGGCATTTTCCTTGGTTGGGTACAAATCTTCTTTATGTAATTGAGGTCTTAAATATTTCGTAGTTCTTACCACAAGTGTTGCTCTGAATACACTTATTCAAATTTGGAGGTAAGCTAAATCTGAACCAATAAGCATTACCAGTCATGTTTTACACATCTTTTGTTTTTATAGAACTGAGAGAAAGCCTCTAACTCCATTTGTCAGACTGAGTAAGTACCACTGTTTTCCACTGTGTGGAATCTAAATAGTTTTCACTATTTCTTCTTCAGGTGCTATGCATGCTAGTATTTTCTTCCTGTAATAGCAGCACTTAGGTTTTCTGGTTTTCCCCTTAATTGTTCTTAGATTTAGTTAAGTAAGATCACAGGTATTTCTGTTCCTGTGGTCTGTTCATTAGTCATGTAGCATCCTTAGGACTGACACTTCTGGATGTATTTCAGCAGTTGAGAATACAGTGAACCTGTTGACAACCTGGTTCACCAAATAACAAAACCCAGTCCTCTTAAAAATTAGTTCTGATTTGTAAATGCAGCTTGACTCAGATATTCTTAGTTAAAATAGTTAAGGGTGTTGTATTATTCACCAGCCAAAAGTAAACCAAGTTCTTTTATTCACTGCAGTTAAAATACCTTCTTAAAACCTGGCAATTAAAGGTTACAAGTTCAGTTGTGAAGTGTTTCCAGACTTTGTGGTTTTTGTACTTTATCTTATTGTGACATGACAGCCAGAAGAAAATTCAAAACCTTTTAAAAATTCTGATAAGGTCAGTGTCTTGTGGTAGTGAGCTTGACAGGTTGGCTCTTCCATGAGTGCAAAGCAGTTTCTATTGTTTCAGGTTTGCTATAATTTGCAGTTTTCTTATGATCCTCAAAGAGAACTCTTTTATTTTCTACCCATAGTGCTTGTTTGTGTCTTTCAGTCTGAGAGGGTACGATTCTGGCATCTGTTATCACATGGTATTGGACTGAGGAAGAAAATGAGAGAGTAAATTTGCTTTCCCTAGCTATATATGGCCCATGATGTATTGTAACCCAGGTGGCACTTGATTTAGCAGACTGATGTTTTTGTAGAAGCTGCAACGTGGTCTTCCAGTATCTTTAGAAGAATTTAAGGTGTGAAAAATCAAGGTAGCTTTTATATGCTTGAGGCAGGCCTGCTATTAAAAGCAAACTTGCCACAGCCTGTGTATCTTCCAAATTAATGTGTGCTAAGCTTTTTTTAGCATACGAGGCAAAAGTAATTTATTTTTCTAATATATATATGCAGGTGCTGCACTTAATAATTAGATGCAAGCCAATTTGACAGTAGATCATGTTTAACAAATCATTTTCTTTTTGCTTTGGCTTTACAGCTCTGTTACTTAGCCAGTGGCCTCAATTATTGTAAGTGGCACTCTAGAAAGCCTGTTGGAAAGAGCTTTGAGCTCTACTTCAGCAGCTTAACATTTAGATAAGATACTGGAAATTTGTGACCTGTAGAGTGTTTACAGAAACTTGTTTGCAACTGCTGCAGTGAATAGGAAGTTAAATATAGGCTTCATTTGTTTGATTCTTCACTTCATTTGAAAAGGAAGAGCTGCTTGTTTCAAACCTTTAGAACAGAACTGGCTGGTGTGGTAGAGTATTGCAAGAGGCCTGCTGCCCAGTGCCAGTATATGAGGAGAGTAATAATGAAGATTTGGAGTATTAAAGGTCCCTTTCCTTTGAAAGGAGTTTAAGCAGTATAGTAGGGTGAATTGTGTTCAGGTACTGCTGGTTTGGCATCTAGGAGTTCCCTTCTCCTTGGATATTTCTTTTTGCAATGCCAAAGTTACGTTGAGTTCCTTGGAAGTGTGAGGTTTGCTAGAAGGCAGCACCAAAGGATGGTAGTGCTGGCTCCTGGTCTGCTAAAATGATTTTGCAGACATTTTTAAATGCCAAATTTTGGGGTTTTGCCCTTCAAAACACACAGCACCTTGCCAAACTTGAAGCTGTGGCTAGCCATCCAATTCATGAGTCTGCTGAGAAGATAGCCTCAGGATCAGATTGCCTTTCATTTTCACTCAAGTGACTGGGGGTGTGTCTGTTAATTCTTTGCCCTTTACCTTCCAGAGCGTACTGCAAGCCACAGAACATGTTAACAGCTTTAAGATTTTTCAGTATGAGTGACTGAGAGTCTTGCAGATTATGCTGATCCCTAGAAGAGTAACAGGATAACAGAAGGCCCAGATCACAGTCCCTTCCGTGACCCTGAGTTGTGTGTTACGTATGTTCTGCCGTATTGAATTTTTTTAATGTCACAAGGGATGTGAGAGTATCCTTGTATGAAAGTCTCTTTAGAGTTGTAGCTAGTTTCAAGCAAAATCTGCTACCTTAGCTTTAAGGGTCATCAGATACTATATAATATATTTTACTTAAAATATGTACTAGCTTTAGTGCACTGTCTTTGTCTAGAGTATGTTGGTTAGACAGAGGCTTTAAGTTATTTCCTATTTAGAAACTCAAAACCAAAATGTTGCACTTTATCCCTGTATTTCCATGGCACTGCTTACTTTCTTGCAGCACCTGCATTGAGGGGTTTTTTTTTTTTTTTTTTTTTTTTTTTTTTGCTAACATGCAGCTCAGATTTTTCTTTCCTTCTCCTCTCTGTTTTTTGTTTGTGTGTTTTGTTTTTTTTTTGTAGTGGATTGACAGTGCAAGAGAATGTCCTGTATGTGAGAAGGTACCTTCTTTTGGTGATTTCTCATGGAAAACATTGCAATGAAGAAGTGTCAAGTTGGGAAGTTATAGTTCGTGTTTTCTTGCCTGTGATCCTTAAGGGTCATCTGGTTAGGAAAATTAAACGGATATCAAGTAGGGGGCATGGATTTGCAATGTGATTTTGTGGCTTTAACTCCCTGCGGATGTGCTTATAAGGTCATTTCTACTACAAATGCTTGGGACAGCTGCATTAATCAGCATGTTCATCCTTGCCTAGTGTAGCTCTGCTAGTGGAATCCCTTAATGTAGATATCATTTACAGTGGTAAAACTACACTTTTAAAATAAAACTTGTTTTGCTGGGGGTATTGAGAAGATAGTGATGTGAATGCTTTTTTTGTCATTGTGATTGGCATGTGAGCTGTTAGTGCTTTTCCAAGGAAAGAAGGATTAGGTAGGAAAGTAGGGCCCCAAAATATGTCTTTTCCAGCTGAATTAATTTTTTTCATCAGCAGTATAAAAATAGAAGGGGTCGTAGCAGGAGAGGAGAGCATCCTCTATCAGATGGTCTAGTAAACAGTTTTACCTATCCCTACAAACCTTGTTACATTTATTCCATAATGGGTGTTTACTCGGCATAGCAGGGCAACCT